ATTCTCGTGATGAGACAATATTCAGTACCAAGGATAAAGCATTAAGACTTTTTAATGATTTCTAAATTTGATACGGGGTATATCAAATAGTGTATCTACGGGATGACACGTTTAGGAATCACATATGTAAGCGTGAAGTGTTAGCCGCTTCAAGGAGAATTTTGCAAGGCCAGTTCTCTATGCACTTATGAAACCAGGCGGTGTTCATGGCTTAAACGAACACAACAATGAGAACTAAAGACGGTTAAGGGTTGGTTGTGTGACTTGTGGTTGTCTAGGTATACACCAAAGTTCGACGGTTCAAAGATATCAAATCTACCGATTGATCGAGTATATCTGACATAAGTTCATTACGGAAAGTTCAACGGAGAACCTACTTATCCAGATGCAATTATTCTTTGCTTGTGAATCACACAGTTTTTCATGTATATTTCCGTGATATAGCCATTCCCCATTCATGTGGGGGAATGTTGGGATTTTTTAAAGCATTAATGAGGCTTAAAAGAGGGTGAATGGGAAATGAACTTTTTGAGTGAAATTTTAAGTTTTCCCCCTCGGCAAAGGGACATTGTCCCATATTGGAAGAGGAAGAGGTTTTTTATGGGTATTTAAGCAATTGCTCTTCTTCTAGCTCTTAAGGAGTTGAGAAGAAGGCAAACCTCGCGTCGTCGTCGTCATCATCGTTGTCGCTCGCTCCACTCGGCCTCGGCTTCGGCTTCGGAATCGGATTCGGATTCGGAATGTTATTAAATATTTTTTTTAAAAGAAGGCAAGCCTCGCGCCGTCGTCGCTCGCTCGGCTTCGGATTTGAATTTGGTCAAATGATCGATTGATTGATTAATTTTTTGGACCAAATTTATTTGTTAATAGTAAAATATTAACAGAAATGTTATTAAATATTTGTATTAATAACAGAATATTAATATTAAAATTAATATTAGTATTAAATCCCCCAATCCGTTTTTCTGTGTTGGTAACAGAAAATTAACTACCCTCTTCAATTTTCCCTCTTTATTGTTGAGTAAATAGCCATTTATGTTATGGCATTTATGCTATGACCGTTTTGCATAAACAACCATTTTGAAGAGTTGCACCTCTTCAGATTTCAGGCCAACTTTGGCTATAAATACAAGACTATTCTGCTCAGAATTTTCATACGATTTTCTGAGTTTCTTCTCCTTCTTCTGCATAGTTTTAACATCAAAGAAAGCAACAGTAAGTGTGATTTGCTACCGAACTTTGTGTTCGCTGAAACACTGGGGTTTGAAGTACCACTACACCAGTGTGTAATTCGTTCTATCCTGGGAGGAAATAATCCATAACTTTGGGTACTAGGAGGGAATTAAATTTCTTAAGGAAACACTGTGAATTCAGTGGGCTCGAATTGGTTTTTATTATTTCGTTTACATTTCTGTTTATGTTTATTTATATTTTTCAGAATTATTTTATAAATACAGTTTACTAACACTACAATACTAGTAGTTCCTTCGGTGTATGCAAATTATGTACTTTGGGCAAACATTCTAGGAACTGAAGTAATTAAACACTTTTTGGCATGTAATATTGATATACAAGAACAAAATATGCCCGTTTTATGGGTATTACAGCAGGGGCGGATTTAGTTCAATAGTTACGGGTTCCCCTGAACTCAGTAGCTTTTGTCTAGAACCTGTATTTATATTGAAAAATTCATTAAATGTATAAGAATATTTAGCTTGGAACCCAGTCCGTTCATTAAGTTAGTATTGTATATCAACTCGAAATTTTTATAAGAACCCATAAACCTAAAATCCTGGATCTGCCTCTCGATTACAGTACCTCCATCTAACCAGTACACTATAATGTAGTTCTTAATATATATGTAATTTTTCATTTGACCAAAAAAAATTACTATATATTGACATTTATATGTTGTTGTAAGTCATCAAAACGCAATATTGTTAGGGGTCGTTTGGTAGAATATATTAGATAAAATAATGCATGTATTAGCTTTATGTATTAATAATATCTTGTTTGGTACATATTTTGAACCTATGCATTAGTTATGCATGCATTAGTTATACATCCTATTTGGTATTATCCTATGCATAACTAATGCAGTAAAAAATGGTATTAGCAATGCAATGGGTTTTACTACATGCATTAGCTTAGTTAAAGACAAAATTGGCCATCAAAATTTATGCTTGATTAAAATATGCTAGTTAATATATTAATGTAAGTATAAAATAATCCAAATAGTGAGAAATAAAATTATATCTCTAGTAAATAAATAAATACTTAGCATATTTCCTTTTTTATAAATAAATATTTGGTTCTATATTACAATATAGGTAAACAAATCAAATAATTTTTTTAAAACTTTTTCATATAAAAACATTTCTCAATATATATTTCTTTTAAAAAGTTAGAGTGATGGACTGGTTTTGAGGGTATTTTTGTAAACAAACAATTCTTTTAGAAATTGTGCAATGTTTTAATACATCAAACCAAACAATGGACAAGAAATATGTCAGCATAACTAATACCAACATAACTAATATCAGCATTACTAATACATCTTATTCAGTATTATTCTTATGCACCCTACCAAACGACCCCTTGGTGGAACTAAAGAACGCGTCGTAAGTTTCAGTGTTCCTCAAGTAACTACTATGTACATATTTTTCGTTTTGGCTTGACTAAAGAACGCGTATGTCTTAGGTTTCAGTGCTCATCAAGTAACTACATAAGTTTCGGTTATTCCTTGTAGGACTAGGACTAGGTTATTCCAACGTTAAATAGGCCCTAATTAAAATAAAAAAAATCATATGTTCATTCTTTAATTGAGCTTCTCAAACCCTATTGATCACTCTCGCTCTGTCTCTCTCTTTCTAAGCTCGGAGAAATCACTCACACATAGAACAGAGTATTGTAAAGGTCAGTAATGGATACTAACATGTTAGTGTATTGGGAAAAATTGTATTTTAAATATGACGTGACGAATACGTGTCGAAACACGTAAAAGTCAAATGGCCAAAGAGTTACAACTAGCCAAGAGGTACGAGTTGCAACAGATACGAGCAAATGGCAGAGGAAGAGGCACGGGCAGGAATATAAATAACCCAGCACCCGTACCTATCTAAGTAATTTATGTCCGAGAATCAAAAGGAATGAATCTGACAATAGAAAAGAGTGCAGATATGGTATTTAATAGGCATTGAATGTGGAATACGTTAGAAAATTTGTATTGAATATAATGATTATGTAACGTAGCATTAAATGTCTTTAATAACTCATAATAACCTCATTATGATTTGGGCAAAACGTATATCTCCAAGATATCTATAAAAGGGAGACATCTGATCAATTGTAAGGACACGAAATACTAAATTCTAGCTTTGACTAAAATTTCATTTTTTGGTTAAACAGTTACAACTGGGGCTGATGGGTCGTCTTCATCCTTCACAAGATCACAAACAACGTACTACTAAAAAATTAGTAGTATGTAAACATTGGTTGGCTGGCAATTGTAATAGGTTTCCCTGTCAATTTCTACATAGTAGAGAATTAGTGGAACCATCATGGCCAAAGCAGCAGCAGCAGCAATATGCGAAGCGGTTTTCCGATGATCATAATCCGAAGAAGAAGAAGAATTACAACAATAATACATGGCGGAGGAGTAGTACTACTACTACTACTGCGGCTGGTGGTGGTGGAGTAGTTGTGACGAATAATAATAAGACGGAGAAAGTTGTTTGTAAATATTGGGTTAAAGAGAAGTGTAACTATGGAAACAGCTGTAAGTATTTGCATTCTTGGACTACAGGGAATTGTTTCACATTGTTGGCGCAACTCCAAGGGCACGAAAAAGTTGTTACAGGTATTGCTCTGCCCTCAGGTTCCGATAAGCTTTATTCGGGGAGCACGGACAAGACTGTGCGATTGTGGGATTGTCAATATGGAACAGATGCAGGGGTCTTCAATTTAGATGGTGAAATTGGCTGTATGTTAACTGAAGGGCCGTGGATTTTTGTGGGGTTGCCTAATTTTGTCAAAGCAAGACACACTCAAACAGGAACTGTCCTTAGCCTTAATGGTCCAATTGGACAAGTCTATGCTCTTGTCTTTGATGACAATAATCATATGCTCTTTGCTGGTACAGAGGAGGGGCCGATATTAGCCTGGAGATTTGTTAATGGGAGTAATTTTGAACGAGCTGCAACATTGATAGGACACACACATCACGTGGTATCGCTGTTTGCTGGAGCGGGCAATATATTGTATTCGGGTTCCATGGACAAGTCAATAAGAGTATGGAGCCTTGAAACTTTTCAGTGTTTACAAGTCTTGACAGATCATACAAGTACAGTTATGTCTGTTCTTTGTTGGGAAGACTTCCTTTTATCGTGTTCGTTGGATAAAACGATCAAGGTCTGGGCTGCAAACGAGAGCGGGAATTTGGAGGTTACATATACCCATCAAGAGGACAGTGGTGTGCTGACTCTATGTGGTGTGCATGACTCAGAAGCAAAGCCTGTGTTGCTGTGCTCTTGCAGTGATAATACTGTTCGCGTTTATGATCTGCCTTCCTTTTCGGAGAGGGGGAGAATATTTTCTAAGCAGGCTGTCCGGCGCATCGAGATTGGTCCTGGTGGTTTATTGTTTACAGGTGGTGAATCAGGTCAGGTTAGAGTCTGGAAGTGGTTAACTGATCATCAATCCAGCAGTACAACTACAGCTTGAGATTGGGTAGCCGTATTTACAAAGAGACACTGTAGTTTTTAGCATTACTGTCTTCTGTTTTTCTTTTCCTGTTGAGGAAATGTATGTACCAATTGCAAACAAGAATACAAATAGTACCAATTTTGATTTCTCAGAGGTAGTACCTCTTATATAGCCTTGCCGTTTTGTTGCTTTAACTATCATTGAGCTCTCAAGTCCTTTTCTTCTGGTTTTTGTACTTGTATTCATGTAAATCCAAAGGATACTGATGTAGCTCATACAGTCTTGTGTACTCTTGAATATTAACTCATGTTTTTATGCATTTGTGTTCTTGGCCCTCTTTGGACGAATTCATTGTTGTTTTAGTTGATCGTGATTTAGTTTCATGTCCGACACTTGTTTGTTTTGGTAATGGAAGCTTTTAGTTAGATGTTGCACTAATTAATTTGTACTGTATAACTAAGATCAATGGCTTCAAAGTAGACAGTGGAGGAAATTCTGCACTTAAAATATCCCACATTGTATGCTGACAATACATTTGGTAATGGTTGTTGCAAATGAGATTCAATTAAGACACTTGAGAGTTGTCTTGGCGTTTGAGGTAACATCTGGACTACGTACTATTACTCTGGATAAAAGCAACACATACCATGTGAATGAGGTGGAAATTTGGAATGATTAGACAGTCAATCAGTAACTTGGATGCCAAATTGGTCAATTTTCCACCGCTTCTTTGGATATGCCTTTGGAGCAGCACACAAGTCAATTTTTTTTATATTTTGGCAAGGGATTATAGAAAAGGTGGAAAAGAAATTAGCCACCATAATCAAAGATAGAGTGGTAAAATAGAGTCTTGTTAATGCTTCATCTTATCCATATCCTCAAGTATAGACGTTTAAGCACCTTAGCTTTATGATGTGATCTCTTGGCTGTACATGAAGAGGAAAATATTTGGGCAAAAATCACTTTTAGCCCGCGGCCGAAATTATTTATATCCGATAATTGGAAAATTGTATAAAATTTATATATATATATATA